CATTGTGGTCCCAGCACCCTGATCCCCAGTATCCCAGTCACTCAGCATCAAGGCACCCCAATCTCTTGGGGTTCCAACACCCCAATTTCTTGGAGCTCAGAGCACCTCAAATTCCAGGCACCCCAATCTCTTGGGGCCCAGGCACCCTGATCCTCATTACCTCAATCCCTTGGAGCTGAGGGAACCCCAATTCCAGGCACCCTTATCCCAAGCACCCCAATCCCTTCAGCCCACACCACCCCAATCCTGGGCACCCCAATCCCATGGGGCTGAGGCACCTTGATCCTCAGCACCCTAATTCCAGGCACTCTTATCCTGAGCACCCCAATCCCTTCAGCCCACACCACCCTCATCCTGGAGACCCCAAGCCCACAGGGGACTTAGGGTGAGACCCTCATCCCACCACCCCAGCACCCCAAAAAACAATGGAGAGATGGAGCAAAAAATAGTGGGTTTTATGAGGTAAAAATGGGGACAAATAAAGAACATTTTGGAGAGAGAAATCAGGGAGAAATTTAAGGGGAAAAAAGGGAGATTGAGCAAAAAAAGTGATTTTCCTGAGGAACATCCTTGGTGCTCAACCCCTCGCTCTTTTTTTAGGGAAACAATCACATTTTTGAGGATTTTCCCCATTTTTCCCCCCTCAGGCTGTTTCGATGGCACATTGTTGTGAGGAGACTTTTGGGAGTTGGGGATTGTCAAGAGAAAAATGGGGTTCTGAGTGGGAAAAAAATGAACTTTTGGTAGAGAATTGGAGGTTCTGAGGGGAAAAAAGGAGCTTTTAGTAGAGAATTGGGGGTTCTGAGGGAAAAAAAGGGGGAAAAAGTGATTTCTTATTATTTTCTCAAGTAGTTTGTGAGGTAGAAAAGATTTGATCCCTGAAAAGCAGTGGGAATGGCCACCCTGGAGAAGGAGCAGCAGCAGGTGACTTATCCCAGGTGGATCTGCTGGTGCTTGATGAGGGATGAGATGATGCTGAAGCTCTTCTCACACTCCTCACACTTGTAGGGTTTATTCTGGGTGTGGACACGTTTGTGGTTGCCAAGGGACTTGCTGCTGGTGAAGCTTTGCCCACATTCCCCACACACATAGGGACCCTCATCAGTGTGTCTGTGCTGGTGACTGATGAGGGACCAGTAGTATCTGAAGCTCTTCCCACACTCATCACACTTGTAGGGTTTCTCCCCAGTGTGGATGCTCTGGTGCCTGATAAGGGACCAGCTGTATCTAAAGCTCTTCTCACACTCATCACACTTGTAGGGCTTCTCCACGCTGTGGGTCCGCTTGTGACGGTTGAGTTTGGAGCTCTGCTTAAAGCTCATCCCACACTCACCACACTTGAAGGGTTTCTCCCCAGTGTGGGTTCGTTGGTGGACGATGAGGGATGAAGTCTCATAGAAACTCTTCCCACAATCTCCACACTTGTAGGGTTTCTCCACCGTGTGTCTACGCTTGTGCTTGCTGAGGGACGAGTTGTAGCTGAAGCTCTTCCCACAGTCACTGCACTTGTAGGGCTTCTCCATGCTGTGGGTTTGCCGGTGGCAACTCAAACCTGAGAGCCACATGAAGTTCTTCCCACATTCATCACACTTGTAGGGCTTCTCCCCAGTGTGGATGTGTTTGTGATTGACCAGATCCGAGCTCTGCCTGAAGCTCTGCCCACACTCACCACATTTGTAGGGCTTGTCCCCGGTGTGGATCCGCTGGTGCATGATGAGCCCCGAGTTCCATCTGAAGCTCTTCCCACACTCATCACACTTGTAGGGCTTGTCCTCACCGTGGGTCACCAGCGTTGTGCTCCCCACAAAGCTCTCCCCGTGCTCCCCACAGATGTT